AAAAAAAAAACAATAAAAAATAAGTGATTTTAACACTCCTTTCGCCACCAAACTTAATGCACATCATCTTCTTAGATTAATTTATTGTAGAGTGATCTTAAACGAATAATTAATGAATCTATATCATGTAATTTTAGAAAAATCTGCATTTTTTCTTTACGTAAATTTTCTAATATACCGGTTAGTTCGTATTCTGCTAAAACCGCATCTTTTTCTAATAATATACTATTTTTAGTAAAAAATAAATCACTTAAAACACATAACTCTGATGTATTACCTATAGATCTCCTATGTTCAAGAAGATTATTTTTTCTACTCTCTAAGCCATTAATTAAAAAGGCAATTTGGTTTTTTGTTATAGGTTTTCGAATGAAGTTACTTACCCTATTATATAAAGCAATTAGGGCTGTTTTTGGTAGATTAACCTTTGTATCCTTTTTTGTGAAAAATTCTGGTTTTTTTTCAATAAGTATTGTTAGTAATTTAGTAAAATCATTTTCTACTAAATTGCTTCCTTCTACTATTATTCCTTTTATGTCCTTAACCTGAATTTCTCTAAACTCACAAGTAGCTATACCAACATTAAATCCCCTATTTCTAAAAAAGTTATGTATTCTACTTTTTAACTCTTTAGTTAAGATAGTAAGATCTTCTTCCGTCAAATCATTAACTGAATTTTGAGTTAACTTCTTTAACCTAGAACAAAGAGAATTTACACTAACCCTTATTATATCCGTTTCATTAGTAAGATTAGAAAACAAATCAGGTTTTACCTTAATTAATACATTAAACATATGAGTAATTTCGTCTTCAGCGTTTTCGCCCTCTTCATATCAGAACGTTCCTTTAGAAAGGGTAAGACCAATATCTCTTAAGTTACACTTTATGGAGTTAACTCTATGTGTTTTAGAAAGGTACGCTATTTGTTTACTTCTTAATCTATTAATCAAATCATTAATTTGATCAGATGTAAACGATTTTAAAACTTCTTGCCCTTTTTGTGTTGAATCTCCTAAACTAACATAATTATTTGAATGATCACCATCGTCTAAATTAGAATTATCTAAATTATCACCATCATCTGAAGAATCATCCTCTGAATAATCACTCTCCGGGTAATCTAGATTACCTTCTAAGTAAAGTTTAGAAAATGGGTAAATATTTTTAGGCTCTACCCCATGTGATTTAATGATATCTAAATTCTTTTGATAAAAAGCTTGATATAACTTAATATACCCTCCATTTATATTCTCTGAGATAGATATATCACTAAATCCTACACCGTCTACAATTGCCCTAACAGTCGATTTATCCTCGACCAATTTACTATAGTGCTCCACTAGAACTGATCTACCAATAGTACAAATTTCATCTAAGTATGCATCACGTTGGTTATCAAGTTTATCAGGGTCAAAATCTAAAAAGAGATAGTTTTTATTTTGCAATGTAATCATTCTAATATCAAGACAAGGGTAGTTTGTGGATATATCTCTGCTACCACCCATATCTAGGTTTTCAAAATCTAATGGTCTCTTTATTCCCCTATTTAAATTAGAGGAATGCAAGGATTGTCTTGAAGATTCACCTTGTTGAACATTATAGTCATAATTAGGGAAACCTTTTTGCATAAATACCTGTAAATCATAACCATTCTTCACAGGATCCGTTAAATGAAGGAGTTCTCTAGTTCTATCAGCCGAAGGGTCGTAGAAAGAATCTATATTTTTAGGACATAGATCAAATGAATTAGTTTTTTTAGGGGATAGATCCAATAAATCTTTTGAACACTGTGGATTGAATAAAGAATTTAAAAAATTTATATTAAAAGCGGATTTTTTATCCACTTCTTTAACAAAATTTAGATGAATTCTGTTTAAATTAAATTCTTCAAGATGCCCATTTTTAAAGGTAGTATTTATGGTAACGATTTGATCCGCACAAGTTAAGTTAATTTTACATGTAAGATTTGAATAGCTAGAAACGAAATGAGAAATAAAATCTCTAAAATATAAACTGTCATTTTTCAATAGTGCTTCTAGAGAATTAATTTTACCTTTATATAGATAAAAAAGTTCTATTCTTTTTTCTACATTTGTAAATAGATCTATTCTAGTGAATTTACTTATTTTAGTTATAGGGTAAATGTTAATTTTATATTTAATTAGCTCATTATAAGATGATCTAAAAGGACTTAGTATATTATATTTATAACCATATGATCTGAATGAAGAGAATAATCTACCCATAATAGGAAATTTAGTTATGATATTATAAATACCTTCAGCTAAACTTTGATTACTAGTGGTTTTCATTGCTGAATAATCAGCTAAGTAAATGCGTGAAAGTAAATTATTTAGTTTTGTTAAGCCTAAGAACATTATAACTTTAAAGTAAGGTAATACATAGTAATAATTAACACTACCTAGTAACATCATAAAAATAAGGCTAGATAAACTTAACGATACGTTATCTAATTTAAATTCTTTAGTGATAGAACAGATAAAGAATATGATAATTAATCTAACACTAATTACTTTAGGAAAAAACGTATAAAGAAATAGTGTAAGAGAGCTAGTATCAACTATTATTCCTAAACCTAAGATGAACAAGATCACATTTAGGATAAAAATAGCTAAAAACATAGTTAGTGCAATAATAAGGAGCTGCTCTTTATTTTTCATAATAAATAATAACTTATCCTCAATAGATAGGGATTTCTTATTATTTAGTAAACCAATAATAATCATATTTAAACCAATTATTATGTTAATACATATATATGAATCGTTAAAAATTGAGTCAGAAATAGTTTTATCCACTAGCCCAATGTAATTTCCTGAAAAAACAGCTAACAAATCACCAGTATGATAGTAGTCATCCTGATTATACCATAGTGTTAGAGTAATAACGGCGGAAAAGGTTAGTAATAAAAGTATAAAAAAATGAGGTATACTTCAATCAAACGATAGAGGTATGAATAAAAGAGATATAATAACTATAGAAACTAGAAAAAATTTTGTAATGAATAAGTGTTTTATAAACTGCTCTCCCATTTTATTTAAAAGTAAGGTTCCGTAATAGATTAGTTTTGAAAATAAAGATCTACCCGGGCTGCTGAAAAATTTTTTTT